CGAGGGCCTGTGGACTTTGGGTGTTCCGTAAATCACCTCCTGGGTGGAGATGAGGGTAAGGGGCTTCTGACATTCCTAGGGCGAGGGGACTTTGGACATTCCGATTGTTACTTAAGTGGTTCACAGAGGGCTGGGCGTGGTGGCTCATGCCTGTAATCCTAGCACTTTGGGAGGCCGAGGTGGGTGGATCACCTGAGGTCAGGAGTTCAAGACCAGCCTAGCCATCATGGTGAAACCCCATCTTAAAAAAATAAATAAATAAAATAAAAATTTTAAAAAGTGGTTCACAGAAGTCAAGATAAGCATTAGTTTACACATTGTCTGGGTAGGGTGGAAATTACAGACCTTAGTTACTTATTACAAGTCGCAGCGGTCAAGATGGTGTGGATTTGGACTGCTTGCCTGTCACATTAGTGTTACAGAGAGCAGTTTCAACAGAAAGCCAAGATATGGTTGAGGTATGCAGTTCTGTGGGGCTTTTACCATGTCACACAGGGAGACTATTCTGTATGCTACTGTGATGGTAGAATGTGTCACTATACGTTTGTCAAAACCCATAGAATATATGGCACAAAGAATGAAACAATGTAAATTGTGGACTTTAGTTAGCAGTGTATTGATATTAGTTTATCAATTGTATATCAGATGTACCACACTAATGCAAGGTGCTAATAGTAAAGTAAACTGTAGGAGAGTTGGGAGAGAAGGGAGACAGCTCTGTATTTCCTACTTAGTTTTTCTGTAAACCTAAAACTGTTCTTTAAAAAGTTTACTAGCTAATAAAAAGAATGAACTACTGATATATCAAGATGAATAAATCCCAACATATGCTGGGTAAAAGAAACCAGACCAAAATAGAGTATATACCATATATGTATGTGTGTGTGTGTGTGTGTGTGTGTATATATATATATATATATATGGAATATATTTATTAAATTTATATGAAGTTCTAGAAAATGCAAACTAATCTATAGTGATAGAAAGCAGATCAGTAATTGCCTGGGATGGAGGCAGGGAGTGTGATATAGGGAATGGTAGGAGGGAGAGATTACAAAGAGGCGTGAGAAAACGTTTGCAAGTGATGGACATGTTCATTGTTTTGATTGCGGTGATGGTTTTGTAGGCGTACACGCGAGATAAAACTTATTGCTGGGTGCAGTGGCTCACACCTGTAATCCCAGCACTTTGAGAGGCCTAGGCAGGCAGGTCACTTGAGTACAGGAGTTCAAGACCAGCCTGGGCAACATGGCAAAACCTTCTCTGTAAAAAAAATTTTTTAAGTTTACTGGCATGGTGGTGTGCACCTATAGTTGCAGCTACTCAGGAGGCTGAGGTAGGAGGATCACCTGAGCCTGGGAGGCCAAGGCTGCAGTGAGTTGTGATCATGACACTGCACTCTAGCCTGGGGCCTGGGTGATCCAGTAAGACTCCGTCTCAAACAAACAAACTTAGTAACTTGTATACTTTAAATGTGTATAGCTTATTGTTTGTTCATTATCTCTCAAGAAAGCTGTTTTTGAAGTGCCAACAAAAAGTAACCCAATCGTTTATTCATTTTCATGACAGGACAGTTGTTGGCTGGGCAGTTTTGCTGATTCTGGCCTGGCTTGCTCAGATGCATGAGCAATGCATGCACTGGCCCCGGTCTGGCTGGTCTGGGAACGCTCTGAATGGGAAGACTCCACCCTGTTTCACAGGTCTCCAGCATTCTTCCATATCCTCTAGCAGGCTAACCTGGCATATTTTCATGATGAGGGCAAGGCACCAAAGAGGGGCAGAAGTGGCAAGAGCTTTTTCTTCCTTCTTCTTTTCTACTGGGCAGCCTCCCGAGCCAGAGTAGGCTCAGAGAGACTCCCACACAAGCACTTTTTAAGTTGACTTTGGTGTCAAGTTTGTTATTATGCCATTGGCCAAAATAAGTCAAATGGCCACATTCAGAGTCTGTGTGAAGAGACTAAGGAGCTATGGGACGAAAGGCATGGAAGTTGGTGGGGGGGCATTAGCTGGGCTATTAATAAAGTTAGTCTTCCTATACCTTAGCCATATTTGAATTTGTATTTCTTTAATTCTATTCAGAAGGTATTTCTTTAATTCTATCCAGAAGGTACTTTTATGGAATGGAATGACTTATACTTTTTTTTTTTTTTTAAGACAGAGTTTTGCTCTGTCACCTAGGCTGGAGTGCAGTGGTGCAAACTTCGCTGACTGCAACCTCTGCCTCTAGGGTTCAAGCGATTCTCCTGCCTCAACCTCCCAGTAGCTGAGACTACAGGCGCATGCCACCATGCCCAGCTAATTTTTGTATTTTTAGTAGAGATGAGGTTTCACCATTTTGGCCAGGCTGGTCTTGAACTCTTGACCTCAGGTGATCCGCCCACCTCTGCCTCCCAAAGTGCTGGGATTACAGGTGTGAGCCACCGTGACCGGCCATGTTGCTTTCTTATATGTAATTTGACAATTAAAAGAAATCTCTGATTAAATGTAATTTGGTTATTGATTTTATATGTTTGCATTAATTCTTTTTTTTTTTTTTTTTTTTTTTTTTTGAGACAGAGTCTCACTCTGTCGCCAGATGCCAGGCTGGAGTGCAGTGGCACAGTCTTGGCTCACTACAACCTCCGCCTCCCAGGTTCAAGCAATTCTCCTGCCTCAGCCTCCCGAGTAGCTGGGACTACAGGCACACGCCACCACACCCAGATAATTTTTGTATTTTTAGTAGAGACAGGGTTTCACCATGTTGGCCAGGATGGTCTCGATCTCTTGACCTCGTGATCCGCCCACCTCGGCCTCCCAAAGTGCTGGGATTATGGGCTTGAGCCACTGCGCCCGGCCTGCATTAATTCTTTTTATGTGTGGGATATGTAAGATTTGATAGTGACATTGGTCACATTTTCATGTTCTGTTTACATTTCCTTTTTTTTTTTTTTTGAGATGGAGTCTCACTCTGTTGCCCAGGCTGGAGTGCGGTGGCACAATCTTGGCTCACTGCATCCTCTGCCTTTTGGGCTCAAGTGATCCTCCCGCCTCAGCCTCCTGAGTAGCAGGTATTACAGGCATGTGCCACTATACCTGGCCAATTTTTGTATTTTCAGTAGAGATGGAGTTTCACCATGTTGGTCAGGATGGTCTTGAACTCCTGACCTCAGGTGATCTACTTGCCTTGGCCTCCCAAAGTGCTGAGATTACAGGTGTGAGCCACCGTGTCTAGCCATGAGCAGAGGTTTAATAGGCAGAAGAGGCTGGACGCAGTGGCTCACACCTGTAATCCCAGCACTTTGGGAGGCCGAGGCGGGTGGATCACCTGAGGTCAGGAGTTTGAGACGAGTCTGGCCAACATGGTGAAACCCCGTCTCTACTAAAACTACAAAAAATTAGCTGGGCATGGTGGCGCGTGCCTGTAATCCCAGCTACTCAGGAGGCTGAGGCAGGACAATTGCCTGAACCCAGGAGGCGGAGGTTGCGGTGAGCCGAGATCGCGCCATTGCACTCCAGCCTGGGTAACAAGAGCGAAACTCCGTCTCAAAAAAATAAATAAATAAATAAATAAACAAATAAATAAATAAATAAAAATATTTAATTGGCATAATTAATAATAATGATAGGTATCACTGGATGCATTCAATGAGCCAAGTATTGGGATTTACTCATTTTTGAAAATTATTTGTCCAAGATCAAGTAGCTCATTCCTTTATACAACTATACTATACAGTGCTTCTAAACCACTTCACAAAAGAAACAAGATTAGAGCCCCAGATAACTACCTCAGTTAAAAGAAAACAAAGTCTCATTATCAGATCAAATGATTCCTAGAACTGTATGTGCTACTGATGAAAGGGACATCATTACATTCCTTTTTTTTTTTTTTTGAGACAGAATCTTGCTGTGTCACCCAGGCTGGAGTGCCGTGGCGTGATCTCAGCTCAATGCAGCCTCTGCCTCTTGGGTTCAAGTGATCCTCCCGCTTTAGCTTGCCTCCTGAGTAACTGGGAGTACGTGGGTGCCCCACCATGCTCAGCTAATTTTAGAAATTTTTTTGTAGAGATAAGGCCTTACTATATTGTCCAGGCTGATCTCCAACTCCTGGGCTCAAGCTGTCTTCCCACTTTCTCTATTTAATCATGTATATGAAAAATAACTTCCCCCCCAATAGTTATTTTTCTTATACCTGGCTAAATACAGAAAGCTTTAAGCTTTAAAAAAAAAATTGTGGTAAAACATATATAACATTTTAGTGGCATTAAGTACATTTATACTGTTAGACAACCATCAAACCATCACCACTCTCCATCTCCAGAATACTTTTCATTTTTTTAAAGACGGAATCTTGCTCTGTCACCCAGGCTAGAATGCAATGACATGATCTCAGCCCACCGCAACCTCTGCCCCCTGGGTTCAAGTGATTCTCCTGCATCAGCCTCCCGAGTAGCTGGGTCTACAGGCATGTGCCATGAGGCCCAGCTAATTTTTGAATTTTTAGTAGAGACAGGGTTTCACCATGTTGGCCAGGCTGGTCTTGAACTCCTGACCTCAGGTGACCCACCCACTTCGGCCTCCCAAAGTGCTGGAATTACAGGCAACAGCCAAGGCACCCAGCTGAGACTTTTTTTTTTTTTTTTTTTTTTGAGACAGCATCTCCTTCTTGTTGCCCAGGCTGGAGTGCAGTGGCCCAATCTCGGCTCACTGCAACCTCCACCTCCAGGGTTCAAGTGATTCTCCTGCCTCAGCCTCCTGAGTAGCTGGGATTACAGGCGCCCACCACCACCCCTGGCTAATTTTTGTACTTTCAGTAGAGACGGGGTTTCTCCATGTTGGCCAGGCTGGCCTCAAACTCTTGACCTCAGGGAATCCTCCCACCTCGGCCTTTCAAAGTGCTGTGATTACAGGCATGAGCCACTCCGCCCAACCTGAGATCTTTTTTTTAAAACCTCTGTACTTTTACCCTTTCTTCCTTGGTTGGACTTTGTCCAGCCAGGTTTATTTATAAAGCCCGTAAAGCTCATTAACATGACCAAGCATTCAGCAAGCCGTTCTTTCAGCTCTCTTACTGCAGGAAGGCACTCCGAAGGCATAAGTCCGTGAGACATGGCTGAGGATAAAAGCAGGAGAGACTCCATCCGGATGAGTATGAAGGGATGCCAGGAAAACAACGGTTTTGTCGATAATGAAGACATTCTGGAGCAGGCCCCGAATCCAGGCAGCTCAGCAGACAACCTGCAGCACAGCACCACGAGCATCCTTGCCTCCCTGGACTTCAAGGGCGTCCAGCCTTACGCGGGGATGCCCAAGGAGGTGCTGTTCCAGTTTTCTGGCCAGGCCCGCTACCGGGTACCCCGGGAGATTCTCTTCTGGCTCACTGTGGCTTCTGTGCTGGTGCTCATCGCGTCCACCATAGCCATCATCGCCCTCTCTCCAAAGTGCCTAGACTGGTGGCAGGAGGGGCCCATGTACCAGATCTACCCGAGGTCTTTCAAGGACAGTGACAAGGATGGAAACGGAGATCTGAAAGGTACGTGCCCAGGACAGTTCAGGGTGGGTGCTAGGATGAGACTGGTTTATGGTTCTTTCATTTCTCAGAGCGGAATTACGCCTGGGTTGTTCAGTAAGCACATTCTCTTATGACTGGTCATGCCAAGTTGCTCCTTGTTTATGATATTCTTAGAAAATCACTCAGCAGAACTCAGCAGTTCTTTTCTAGCTGAATGGCTATTTGCTGAAGGCCTTTGAGCCAAATGAGTTGTTTAATTTATTGCCCACTAATTACATATAGTTGTTCGGTCATCAGTTCTGACTTCTTACACAGAGCAGCCTTCCTTCTAAAATCTATGTCCTGTTTCTGGGAACTTTATAGTTGAAGATGTCAGGATGGCAGTTGGGAATTTCTTTCCTAGTATACGATGTGGCTAGTTTAACTGTGTGACTGGGAGTTTATTAGTGAATAGAGTATAAATAATATTTTCAAATTAATTAATCAAGTGATATCTTTAAAAAGAATAGGCTATCTTAAAGTTTGAATTCTAAAAAAGGAAGGGAAGGAGAAAAGGTGCAGCAGTGTGCGTTCATCATTACTTGAATTAACAATTGTTTAAAGCCATGTCCATATTAGTAGAAAATTGAAGTAAAGAATTAACTAGGGGTAGTGGCGCATGATGGCAGTTGCACTGGGAGGCTGAGGTAGGAAGATTGCTTGTGCCCAGAAGCTCTCAACCAGCCAGCTTAGGCAACATAGGGAGACGCTGCCTCAAAAAAGAAGTGAAAAATTATTATTATTTTTTGAGATGGAGTTTTGCTCTTATTGCCTAGGATGGAGTTTAACAGTGCCATCTCGGCTCACCGAAACCTCTGCCTGCCAGATTCAAGCGATTCTCCGGCCTCAGCCTCCTGAGTAGCTGGGATTACAGGCATTCGCCACCACACCTGACTAATTTTGTAGTTTTAGTAGAGACAGGGTTTCTCCATATTGGTCAGGCTTGTCTCGAACTCCCAACCTCAGGTGATCTGCCCTCCTCGGCCTCCCAAACTGCTGGGATTATAGGCGTGAGCCACTGTGCCTGGCCATATCATTCTGTTTTAAAAAATCATCCTGCATTGTCAGTCATTGAAGAAGAGTGTATCTGTCCTTCAGGGTGCAGCTCAAACCCATTGCCTTCATTACTCTTTCTTTAGCCCCCCTAATCAGACAATGGGCTCCCCACCCCAGGCTCTTCTGCTTTGGATGTGTTTCTAGCATCCTTTAATCCTGCCTTGAGTGACTCCCTTTCCCTGACACATGACCTATTACCTGCTGCCTTTTGCACAGTGAGTGCTTAGCAAAAGCAATGTTTTAACTGAATACACCTAAAGTCCTAAATCCAGAAATACATTTACCACTTCCTGGCCCTGCCTTCCTAATCTCCTTCTAGATTCTTTTTTTTTTTTTTTTTTTTTTTTTTTTAGACAGAGTCATGCTCTGTCACCAGGCTGGAGTGCAGTGGTGCAATCTCAGCTCACTGCAACCTCTGCCTCCTGGGTTCAAGCAACTCTTCCGCCTTAGCCCCCTGAGTAGCTGGGACCACAGGCACATGCCACCATGCCCGGGTATTTTTTGTATTTTTAGTAGAGACAGGGTTTCACCATGTTGGCCAGGATCGTCTCAATCTCTTGACCTTGTGATCCGCCCACCTTGGCCTCCCAAAGTGCTGAGATTTCCTTCTAGATTCTAAGCAGCTCTGACATTTGTCATTTCCAATAAATACCTGTTCCTGGAGGAAGAGTTTACTTCCTACAATACATAGGTATTTGTCTTTGAGGTTGAGGGGATTTTGTTGTTTTTATTATGAAGATCCCATTCCAGCTTCGAGTCTGGTTTTGGTGATTGTCTTCTCTCCCCCAGAGCTACCTATATGGGAGAATTGGGGTACAGAGATTATAGGGGAAGAGCCCAGGTGTCAGGTGCCAGATGACTCTGCACTTTGGAAGTAGTGACCTTCAGCCTGCTGTGTGGCCTCTGACAGTCTGATTCTAGGATGCCACATCGAGATTACACAGAAAAATCCTGGAGATTGAATGCTAGACTCAAGTTGATGAATATGCATTTGGGACTCTGAACTAGAAGTAAAAACACATTATCTGTTGATTCTCCTACAAAGTTCCAAATATAAAGTTTCATTCCCACATCTTTCTCAGACATACCTAGAATTCTATTCTGTATAAATTTCTGGTCTGCTATATAAGTGAACAAGAGAAAATTCCAAATTTAGCAAGTTCAAAGGTAGTCTGAGAGTAGAAAAAAGATTCTTCAAATATTGACACAAACTTACCTTCCATGTTGTGGTTGTACACCTTCTTCAGACCCCGTGCGCCGACAACATTTCTTACCTTTTAAAATTAAATAATTTGTTAAATTATTTATTTATTTTTAAAATTTATTAATATTATTTTTGGAGATGAAGTCTCATTTTATCGCCCAGGCTGGAGTGCAGCGGCACAACCTCAGCTCACTGCAACCTCTGCCTCCCAGGTTAAAGTGATTCTCCTGCCTCAGCCTCCTGAGTAGCTGGGATTACAGGTATGCACCACTGTACCCAGCTAATTTTTTTCTTTTTTGAGACGGTGTCTTACAAAATACAAAAATTAGAATTATATTCAAATTTTTGTATTTTTAGCAGAGACGGGGTTTCACCATGTTGGTCAGGCTGGTCTCAAACTCCTGACCTTGTAATCCACCTACCTCGGCCTCCCAATAATTTTTGTATTTTAAGTAGGGATGGGGTTTTACCATGTTGGCCAGGCTGGTCTTGAACTCCTGACCTCAAGTGATCTACCCATCTCAGCCTCCCAGAGTGTTGGGATTATGGGCGTGAGCCACCATGCCCAGCCTTCTCACCCTGTTTTAGACATGCCCTGTCTATACTTGCTCCTTCCTTTCCTTTGCCCTACCTGGAAGCCCTTCACTCTGATTCCCCTTTCCCATACCATCCTGGACCTTCTCTATCCTTACCCTCCAGAGTCATCAGCTTCCTCTGCCCCTGGGAGTCAGGGGCCAATGCCTCGGTGCCCTTAAAGCACTTTCTGCAGCTCTTCCTTAGCTCTTCTCCAGTCTGGGCTTCATCCTACCCCTGCCTGTGGACACTGCTGAGACCAACACCGCCCAAATGAAGTACAATGCGAGCCACATAAGAAATTGTACATTTTGTAGTAGCCACATTAAAAAAAGGAAAAATGAAGCAGGTGAAATTAATTTTAATATGTTCTGTTTAATCCAGTATATCATTTCAGCACACAGTCAGTATAAAAATATATACGTATTATTATTATTTTTTATTTTAAGATGAGGTTTCATCATGTTACCCAGACTGGTCTCAAATACCTGAGCTCAAGCAATCTGCCCACCTCAGCCTCCCAAAGTGCTGTGATTACAGGCATGTGCCTCCATGCCTGGACCAGTATGAAAATATTAATGAGATTTTGACATTCTTTTTGTACAGGGTCTTGAAAATCCAATGCATGTTGTTCCCTTAGAGCACATGTCAATTCCAGCTAGTCACATTGCAAGTGCTCAGGAGGCACATGTGGCACATGGCTCTTAGACAGGGCAGCACAGTGTAGACCATGTGGCCAACAGGGGCCAGTGCTGCTCTGCCCTGTTCCTTCCTTGACACTTAGCCCAGCAGCTGGCCTAGATTAGCTCCTCAAAAACCACGTAGAATAAATGAACAATACCATAGTCTTGCTTTAAATATAAAATATGAATAAGTCACAGATTTTTTTAATGCTATGTTAAAGGTCATTGGTTACTGCTAGATGACCAATTTGATGTTTTTGTTTTTGTTTTGATTGAGACAGTGTCTTGCTCTGTCGCCCAGGCTAGAGTGCAGTGGTGTGATCTCGGCTCACTGTAGCCTCTGCCTCCCCGGTTCAAGCGATTCTCCTGCCTCAGCCTCCCAAATCACTGGGATCACAGGCATGTGCCATCACACCCAGCTAATTTTTGTATTTGTAGTAGAGATGGAGTTTTGCCATGTTGGCCAAGCTGGTCTTGAATGCCTGACCTCGGGTATCCTCTTGCCTTGACCTCCCAAAGTGCTGGGATTACAGGCATGAGCCACCGCACCCAGCCTGATTTGATGTTTTTTGTAGAGCTAGATCTTCCTATTTGAATTATACTCAAATTTTACAAAATTCTAAGTGTTTTTGCCTTCATGTAAATATTTATATCTTAGGTATATTTGTTATTTATTTATTTATTTTTGGCCTTTAAAACAAAGTAGGATTTATTCATGACTTTGACATTTAACTTCAGGTATTCAAGATAAACTGGATTACATCACAGCTTTAAATGTAAAAACTGTTTGGATTACTTCATTTTATAAATCATCCCTTAAAGATTTTAGATATGGTGTTGAAGATTTCCGGGAAATTGATCCCATTTTTGGAACAATGAACGATTTTGAGAATCTGGTTGCAGCCATACATGATAAAGGTAAGTTGAACGGAAAGTGGGCAGGATGGGGGTGACGGCTGAGAGAAGCACTTTTTCAAATGCTTGCTTAAAGCATTGCTTCCCTTTAACTGCCATGTATTTCCCTCCCTCCCTCCCTCCCCTCCTTCCTTCCTTTCTTCCTCTCTATCACTCCTTCCTTTTTTCCTTCCCTTTCCCCTTTCCTTTTTCCCCTCTCCTTTGTTCCTCTTCCCTTCCCTCCCCTCCCTTCCCTTCTTCTCTCCCCTCCCCTCCCCTCCCCTTCTCCTTCTTTCCGCTCCCCTCCCCTTCTCTCCCCTCTCCTCTCCTTTCCTTTCTTTTTTGAGACAGGGTCTTGTTCTGTCTCCCAGGCTGGAGTGCAGTCATGCAATCATGGCTCACTACAGCCTCCACCTCCTGGGCTCAAGCAATCCTCCCACCTCAGCCTCCCAATGTATTGGGGTTACAGACGTGAGCCACCACCGTGCCTAGCTTGTCATATGTTATTTTAATATAATCCTTTCTTAGCATTTGAAATGTTTTTTACTCATTAGGCTTAAAATTAATCATCGATTTCATACCAAACCACACCAGTGATAAACATACTTGGTTTCAATTGAGTCGGACACGAATGGGAAAATATAGTGATTATTATATCTGGCATGACTGTACCCATGAAAATGGCACAACCATTCCACCCAACAACTGGGTAAGTATCAACCTGTCTGATTTACAAAGGCAGATATGCAGTGATTAAATTGGTTTAGTAAAACTCTTTTGAGGAAAAAAATAACGAATACAGAATCTGGGAAGGGGGGACGTTTCTGAAAGAAAGAGAAATAAGGCTTCCAATTATTATTTACCCAGGCTTCCAGTTATTATTTAGATTTCATCATAGAGCTGATGTGTTCTAGCAAATTAAAACCTATATTCTCTCCTAGCCTCTCCTTCCACCCTTCCTTCACTTCCCACTAGATCCGATTGAGATTCCATGTCCCATTAGTTCGATAGCTGTTTTTCTACTCTCCATACCCCTTTGCCTTCTTTTTTTTTCCTTGAGACAGAGCTTTGCTCTTATATCCCAGGCTGGAGTGCAATGGCATGATCTCGGCTCACTGCAACCTCCGCCTCCTGGGTTCAAGCAATTCTCCTGCCTCAGCCTCCCCAGTAGCTAGGATTATAGGCATGTGTCACCACACCCAGCTAAGTTTTGCACTTTTAGTAGAGTCAGGATTTCAACATGTTGACCAGCCTGGTCTTGAACTCCTGACCTCAGGTGATCTGCCGGCCTCAGCCTTCCAAAGTGCTGGGATTATAGGCGTGAGCCACCACACCTGGCCCCTTTGCCTTTCTGACTTTTTGTCTCCCCTGTCTGACAAAACCCCACCCATGAATGAACCCAATTATCTACTTTCTTGGTAGCTGAGTCCCTGGAGACATCATACCTTCATTGTCCCCACCTGAACTGAGCCATCCAATCTTCTTGGGAATTTTGCTAATTCCAACTGATCAACTTCCCTTTCTTCCTCTTTCAAACATCCCATCTGTCTCTGCCCATCTTATCACTCTCAGCAGCAAACTTGACTTCACAGAGAAAACGGAAACCATCAAGCATGCCTGCCCCATTCCCACCCTCTTCTTTTTCACTCCTTTTACCACAGAGGCCAGATTCCTCTTTTCTGGGGTGACCAGGTTTAGCAAATAAAAATTCAGAATGCAATGGCTCACACCTGTAATCCCAGCACTTTGGGAGGCCGAGGCCGGTGGATCATGAGGTCAAGAGATTGAGACCATCCTGACCAACATGGTGAAACCCCCGTCTCTATTAAAAATACAAAAATTAGCTGGGCATGGTGGCAGGCACCTGTAGTCTCAGCTACTTCGTAAGGCTGAGGCAGGAGAATTGCTTGAACCCAGGAGGTGGAGGTTGCAGTGAGCCGAGATTGCGCCATTGCATTCCAGTCTGGGCAACAAGAGCGAAACTCCGTCTCAAAAAAAAAAAAAAAAAATTCAGAATGCCCAGTTAAATTCAAATTTTGGATAAGCAGTGCATAAATAATTTTTTAGTATGGACCATACATTCTGTTTTACTTGTAGTTTTTCAGAGATAGGGTCTTGCTCTGTCTCCCAGGCTGGAGTGCAGCGGCTTGATCATGGCTCACTGCAGTCTCTGCCTCCTTGGCTCAAGCAATCCTCCTAGCTCTGCCTCCCAAGTAATTGGGACCACAGTGTGTGCCACCATGCCCAGCTAATATTTTATTTTTTTTGTAAAGAAAGGGTCTCAATATATTGTCCAGGCTGGTCTTGAATTCCTAGACTCCAGTGATGCTCCTGCTTCAGCCTCCCAAAGTGCTAGGATTTACAGGCGTAAGCCACTGTGCCTGTCCACATGAGCCATACATATACTCAACAATATGCGTTGATTATCTGAATTCAGATGTAACTGGGCATTCTGTACTTCATCTGGCAGCTCTACTTCCATCCCACGCCAGAGCTTCCCCTTGCTCGGATTTGTGTTCTCTCCTGCCTTTATTCTGGATCATCTCTCCCTTCTCCAGTCCCTCCTTCTCTCTTCTGGGCCTTCTCCATAATTTTTTTTTTTTTTCAGATGGAGTCTCACTCTGTCACCCAGGCTGGAGTGCAGTGGGGGGATCTTGGCTCACTGCAACCTCCACCTCCTGGGTTCAAGTGATTCTCCTGCCTCAGCCTCCCAAGTAGCTAAGACCACAGGTGCCCACCACCATAGCCAGCTAATTTTTGTATTTTTAGTAGAGATGGGGTTTCACCATGTTGGTCAGGCTGGTCCCAATCTCTGGACCTCGTGATCCACCTGCCTTGGCCTCCCAAAGTGCTGGGATTACAGGCATGAGCCACCACATCTGGCCCCTTCTCCATAAATATTTAAACATGAAATTTTTGGTGACCCAAGGACACTAAGAATTGACATGTTTCCAGACCAACTTTGTGATATGTGATCTTCTCCCTACAACCTTCCGTCTCCCAGGTTCAGTGAATGATACCACCATGCAGCCTGAGGAACAGCCTGTCAGCAAGCCCTGGTAGTTTCACCTCTTGAATTTTTTCCTCCAGTTCACTGACTTGTTAAAGTTGCAATGACATTAGCAAACATTTACAAAACACTTACTCTGTGCCAGGCTCTGTGCTAAGCGTTTTATATTCATTAATTTAGTTAATCCATTCTACAATCCTATGAGTTAAGTGTAATTCCTGTTTTGCCGATACGCCAACTGAGGTCACTCAGCTAGTAAATGACAGGGCTAAGGATGGGATCAAGTCAGTCCAATGACACAGTCTACTTCAAAATTTGCTCCTATATCTTAAACCATATCGTTTCTTGCTTGTAGAATGGTCGCAGCTGCCTTTTTTGTCATCTAGTTTTTCCACCGCTTTGTTAGTTCTCTGCTATAGTCAAGGTTGCATTTTCTTTTCTTTTCTTGTTTTTTTTTTTCCAAGATGGAGTCTTGCTCTGTTGCCCAGGCTGGAGTACAATGGTGTGATCTTGGCTCATTGCAACCTCTGCCTCCTAGGTTCAACCAATTCTCCTGCCTCGGCCTCCCGAGTACCTGGGATTATAGGTACCTCCCACCACGCCTGGCTAGTTTTTGTATTTTTAGTAGAGATGGGGTTTCACCATGTTGGCCAGGCTGGTATCAAACTCCTGACCTCGTGATCTGCCCACCTCATCCTCCCAAAGTGCTGGGACTACAGGTGTGAGCCTGTCAAGGTTACATTTTCTAATGTAATAGTTAATATGTTTAAGAATACATGTATCTATATGATGGATAAACACCTTGCACTGTAACCATATATAGAAAGACTTTGACTCTAAAAAAATTATTTTTTAGTTTCCTCTATTTTGAACTTTATGAGAAGTGTCATGCTAGGTATAGTCTTCTGTAACTAACTTTTTCACTCATTGTTTTTGAGATTTATTAATGTAGTTTCAGGTAAATCTATGGTTTATAGATTTTCATCGTTGTGTATTTCACTGTGTGAACAATCCATGATTTGCTTATTCACTCTTCGTTGATGGGCTGTTGGGCTATTTCAGGTTTTTTATTATTATGAAAATCGTCACTCTAAACGCTCTCATTTATCTATCCTGGGGCACATGTGTAAAGGCTTCTTTAAGGTAAATAACTAGGACTAAAATTGCTGTGCAGGATGTTACATGCTCAACTCTACAGGAGAGTGTCAAATCAGTTATCAGAATGGTCGTACCAATTTATATCCCCGACAGAAGTATAAAAAATACAGATGCTTATTAATTCTGGGTATTGCCCAACTTTGTAATTTTTATTTAAAAATTATTATTATTATTTTGAGTCAGGGTCTCACTCTGTCACCCAGGCTGGAACGTAGTGGCTCAATCATAGCTTACTATAGCCTCAAGCTCCCGGGCTCAAGCAATCCTTGCCGCCGTAGCCTCCTTAGTAGCTGGGACCACAGGCACGCGCCATCATACCCGGCTAATTTTTTATTTTTTATTTGGAAATATGGAGTCTCTCTATGTTGCCCAAGCTGGTCTTGAACTTCTGGCCTCAAGTAGTCCTCCTGTCTCAGCCTCTCAAAGTGCTGGGATTACTGGCGTTGAGCTACCATGCCCAGCCCAGACTTAAAACAGTATCACATTGAGATCTTACGTTTATTTTATTTTTTTATTTTGAGATGGAGTATTGCTCTGTCACCAGGCTGGAGTGCAGTGGCACAATCTTGGCTCACTGCAACCTCCACCTCCCAGGTTCGAGTGATTCTCCTGCCTCAGCCTCCCGAGTAGCTGGGACTACAGGCATGCACCACTACACCCAGCTAATTTTTGTATTTTTAGTAGAGATGGGGTTTCACCATGTTGACCAGGTTGGTCTCAATCTCTTGACCTCGTGATCTGCCCACCTTGGCATCCCAAAGTGCTGGGATTATAGGCATTCGCCACTGCACCCGGTTGAGATCTTAATTTTATGTTTATTTAATTACTAATGATGATGTACCTAATTCCCAGTATCGTAATTAGGAATTCCTAATGATGTTGCACATCTTTTCCTACATTTATTCAGTTGAGTGTCCATTTCAGGGAAACACCTCTTTTTGGTTTCTTTCCCCTATTTTCTTTTGGATTATGTACCCCTTTGAAATTGCTCTCTTCAGTTCTTTTTGTATTCTGGGAACCAATCTTTTATTGATTATGTACACTAAAAATCTCTCACCCTGGTTGTGTCCAGGCGGGCTATGTGTTGAATTGGAAAGGGTACCTTTCCTTGAGAGGCAGCAGCTACTACTCAGCACCTGCCCGTTGTTGCCATGGACATGTGGACCCAGTGTGACTGTGTCTTCCAATTCAAAAGAAAAGGATTTATGTAAAATCTCCCAGTTTTTAAATGTTTTCCAGATATTCTCTTTAACATGAAATGGACAAAAGGCCTAGGACAGGGCCTCATGAAACTCTCACATTCAAGGGCCCACAGAGTTGACGTAAGGAGGGGCCAGAGACATGGGAGGGCGGCCGGGAGAGTCACGCCATGGGGCCATAAGCATGAGCATTTCCAGGCAGAGGAGACCAGCGACAGTGTCAGCTATTGCTGAGTACCAACACCTGAAGTTGCCTTTTATTCCTGGTGACTGGTAGGTATTTCAAGTGAAGGATTCCAATAATTTTCTGGGGATTCAATTTAAATATCCAGTCTATCTGGACTAAAGCCCCAAGACGAGTGGAAAGTGTCTTTCTTCCAAATTGACTACCATTTTGCTTCTCTTCACAAACAAGAGTTCACACCCTGGACAGAAGTTTCAAGAAAATACATTAGTCACGTCTGTTCCTTAAGTTGACCTTGGCTTGGGTTTGCGAGCGTTGGTTTGCTGTTGCAGTTGTTACAAACAGCTTCTACTGTGCAAGTACATCGCAACCATGTTTGTGAGGCATTAGCCAATGGGGTGGGGGTATTCGGAGGGATTATTTTAACATATGGCAATCCATAGAAGGAAAACTCTCAGGTTTTACATACTCTGCCTCCAAAGGGCCAGGAAGGGCAATGATCTTTATTTGTGGGCAATGCCATCATATGTAACTGATGTGCTATTTTCTTTGTTTGCCAGTTAAGTGTATATGGAAACTCCAGCTGGCACTTTGATGAAGTGCGAAACCAATGTTATTTTCACCAGTTTATGAAAGAGCAACCTGATTTAAATTTCCGCAATCCTGACGTTCAAGAAGAAATAAAAGTGAGTATAGACACCCACACAGACTTCTCTATTAATGGAGGTTTAGGAAGATACTTGAAACACTTTATATTGCACAATAATTGTGCAGGCAAAAATCAAGCCTCAATTAAATTCAGGGATTAAGATGTTTGGTGCAAATGTAGACTCTCAGACGTGTTTGTGGCTCCTTCCTTTCATCTAACCTAGAGTACTCTAAATGGAAGGGGTCAGAAAAACCTGCCACCCTAGCTCCAAGTTGTCCTGCCACCTGTGACAGTGAGCTGGTGCAGGGAGGTGGGCCATTTGGGGTTTGGCTCCTGCATTTGCAGTGGGCCTCTTGATGAGTTATTTGGCTTTCATGTCTCGGCTGTCTCATCTATGAGACACAGCTGGTGGCAATTTTTGTCTTATCGGGCTCTTTGGAAGATTAGATGAGATAGCTCATGCACACTTCTATACTCATTCTGTAAATATTAACATATTGCCTACCCCATGCCAGGCCCTGTTCTAAGCACTAGGAATGCAGCATTGAATAAAAGAAGCCTTACTCTCAAGAAGTCTCCAGAATACTGAGGGGAAAGCAGGCAATTAACCACTAAATATACATACATATGTCAGGTGGTGGTGAAGGCCAAGGGGAAGGGGCATCAGAGTGCCAAGTAAAAGTGGCTCTTCTATATAAGGTGTGTAGGAGACGCCTTGTTATGATGAGATGCCGACAAAAACCTGAAGTGGGAAAGGGAACCACGTGACTATTTAGGGGAAGAGAATTTCAGGCAGAAGGAAGAACAAATGTAAAGGTCTTGAGGGGAGAGTGTGGTTTGTGTGTTTCAGGGATGGCATGGAGGCCAGAGTGTAGGGGTGCCAAATTTAGCAAATAGAAATACAGAATACCCAGTTAAACTTTAAATGAATAATGCAACACCCGGGACGTACTGCTACCAAAAAATTGTTCATTGATGACCTGAAATTGAAATGTAATTGAGTGTCTTATATTTTAACTGTCAATCCCACCAGTATACTGGAGTGAAATGGATGAGGGCGCTGAAGTAAGAGGTGGAGGCTGATCCGTTCTCACAATACAATTCACAAAATGTATCAGCCATGTTCTTATTCTTGTTCTTGCTGCTCCTATGTCTACAGTGGGCAGGAATTTAAGTGAGTAGAGGAGTCCTCTGAGCCAAGTAGGTGGGGAGGAGACCCGAACAGAATGGGGAGCAGTGGGTACCTTTCTACAGCTCACCATGTCAGCCAGATAGAGCAGATGCAAGCTGTCATGTCGGAGTCACTAAGGGGACCTAGAACCCTTGGTTTAGTTTAGTTTAGTTTTGAAATAACAGTTTAATTGAGATATAATTCCATACCATAAAATTAACCCCTTTCAAGTGTGTAATTAAGTGGTTTTAGTATTTTCAGAGTTGTGCAACCATCACCACTAATTTCACAGCTTTTTTTTTTTTTTTTAAGACAGTCTCGCTCTGTCACCGAGGCTGGAATGCAGTGGTGTGATCTCAGCTCACTGCAACTTGCACCTCCCAGGTTGAAGTGATTCTCCTGCCTCAGCTGGGATTACAGGCGTGTACCACCATGCTTGGCTAATTTTTGTATTTTTGTAGAGACAGGGTTTCGCCATGTTGGCCAGGCTGGTCTAGAACTCCTGGCCTCAAATGATCCACCCACCTCAGCCTCCCAAAGTGCTGGGATTACAGGTATAAGCCACTGTACCCGGCCTGATTTCAGAATACTTTCATCTTCTCAAAGGAACCCCATATCCATCAGCAGTCACTCCTTACGGTCCCCTTCCTTTCTTCCCCCAGCCCGTGTAAACCACAAATCTACTTTCTCTTTACCCACCGAAGCCTCAGTTAGATAGGTTTTGCCTATTCTGGACACTTTATGTAATGGAATCATGCTGTATCTATATATCCATGGTAGGTATCTATATCTATGTTTATTTGAGAAACTGCCAAGTTGTTTTTCAAAGCAGCTGCACCGTTTTACATTCCTAGTAACAACATGTAAGGGTTCTTATTTCTCCACATTCTCACCAACACTTGTTATTGCATGTATTTTTTATTATAGTCATCTTAGTGGGTATGAAGTGGCATCTTACTGGTTGTATTTGCCAAATGGCTAAAGACGTTGAACATCTTTTCATGTGCTTATAGTTCATTCATATGCCTGCTTTGTAGAAATGTCTATTCAAATCCTTTGCCATTTAATTTAATTTAATTTATTTATTTAGAGACAGAGTCTTGCTCTGTCGCCCAGGGTGGAGCGCAATGGTGCAATCTTAGCTCACCACAATCCCTGCCTCCCAGGCTCAAGTGATTTGTGCATCTCAGCTTCCTGAGTAGCTGGGACTACAGGCCTGCGCCACCACACCCAGCTAATTTTTGTATTTTTTTGTAGTGACTGTGTTTCTCCATGTTAGCCAGGCTGGTCTCAAACTCCTGATCTCAAGCAATCCTTCCACCTCGGCCTCCCAGAGTGTTGAGATTACAGTCATGAGCCACTGCACCTGGCCCTTTGCCCATTTTCAAATAGGTTTGTCTTTTTATTACTGGGTTATAAGAGTTCTTTCCTTTTTTTTTTTTTAGAGACAGGGTCTTGCTCTGCTACCCAGGCTGGAGTACAGTGGCATGATCTCGGCTCACTGCAACCTCCACCTCCCTGCCCCCCAGGTTCAAATGACTCTCCTGCCTCAGCCACACAAGAAGCTGAGATTACCGGCATGCATCACCATGCCTAGCTAATTTTTGTATTTTTAACAGAGACGGGGTTTTACCATATTAGCCAGGCTGGCTTGAACTTCTTCAACTCAAGTGATCTGCCCAGCTTGGCCTTCCAAAGTGCTGGGATTACATGCGTCAGCTACCATGCTTGGCCTCTTTACATATTCTTGATACATGATTCACAAATAATTTTTTCCATTTTGTTGGTTGTCTTTTACTTTCTTGGTGTTGCTTTTTGAAGCACAAGAGTTCTCCATTTTGATGATTTATTTTCCAATTTATTTTGTTCTTTTGTTGCTTGTGCCTTTAGTGTCATATCTATTAACTATCAGCTTAATCCAAGGTCATGAAGATTTACTCCTATGTTTCTTCTCAGTTTCATAGTTTTGGTTCTTACATTTTAGGTTGTCTGGAATCCATTTTTTGTTAATTTTTATATAGGGTGTGAAGGTAAGGAGTCCAACTTCTTTTTTGGCATGTGGCTATTCAGTTATCCCAGCAATATATGTTTAAAAATACTATTCTTTCCCTATGTCTTACACCTCTTGTTGAAAATCAATTGACCATAATCGCATTTTGTTTCTGGGCTCTCAGTTATTTTCCATTCATCTCTATATCTGTCCTACGTCAGTGCCACACACGGAATTACTAGCGCTTTACAGTAAGTTCTGAAATCAGGAAGTATGAGTCCTACAACTTCGTTCTTTTTCAATATTGTTTGACTATTCCAAGTCCTTTGGATTTCCATATGAATTTTTGAGTCAGCTTGTCAATTTTTGCTAAGAAGGCTTTTGGGGTTTTGATAGGGATTGCATTGGATCTGTGTTTCACTTTGGGGAATATAGCCATCTTATATTAAGTCTTCCAATCCACGAACATGATTCATGTCTTTCCATTTATTTATGTGTTCTTTGGTGTCTTTCAACAATGTTTTGCAGTTCTCAGAGTAATCTTATACTTCTTTTGTTAAATATATTCCTATAGAGCACTTAGTTTTAAGGCTTTTTTTTTTTTTCTACATATGTTTGGTGTTTCCAGAATTTGTATGAACTGCTTTGGAATCTGTTCCGGAAGTAAGCACCATGAGTGAGGGCACCTTGCCTCCATGGGGTTGTGGGGTTGTGGGGTGGGTAGTTGTAGACATGGTCAGCAGACTAGCTAGCAATTAGCTTTAAAATTCTGTGGTAGCCTGTGGACTCCCCTCTTCTTCATCGCCAAAGTTCCTTCGCACAGCCACACCTCATGCTCTCGCCACACATACTGTGTGCCAAGTGCTGTACCTGGATATTTAATGCCCAGAATCAGCCTAATTTATGAGGCTTTTTGATCATTTTACAGAGAGGGAAATTGGGGCTTAGATAGATAAAGTCACCAGCCTTGGGAGTCATGGAGCAGGATTGAAATCTCGACACTGGGACTCGAGTTCATGCTCTTAACCACAATCCTACACCTGTTTTGAGGCAATGTGTCTATTTCCCTCTCCATGCTTCACTTTTTCTGCACAGTTTTTTTCAAGGAGGTTTTCAGTTACAAACTGATCAATGTGAGTGTAAGCCAGTTGGTTTACAGGGGTTTATCAGGCAGTGGATTTTTCCAGGCTCCTTGTGGCAACAGAGATGAATTGTCTGGGATGTTTAGATAAATGTGATAAATTTTGCCAAAATGTGCCAGCCAATACATTAATTATGTTTTTGACTAACCCAGCTGTGCTCTTCCAGATACCCCAAGCAGTGGAGTGTGTGGATGGGATCCTTATTTAGTGGTCCTTCAGGCTGAAATCCCTCATGTGATGAAACATCACTGCCTCCAGTTGAGAGATTAGACTTTATTTGCAAGACTGGTTTAGAAGATTTATTATTAGAAGTAAATAAGAAACACTGAGAAGCTGAGAGGAAAGCCTCTTTGCTCCTGGAAAAGGAACTTTGGCATGAAGGAGACTTCTGACACCCTCCTCCCCACCTTACTCCCAGCAGCGCTTATTTCTGTAGTAGTTAAGCAGGTTAATAATTTGCAGCTCAGAGGGTTTGTGGGGAAGGAGCATTTGGAATGACTCTTGCTCGCATACCAACTTGTATTCCTGGAGCCTGAGCCTACTTCCTCCCTGCTCCTATCAGATTTTGATTTATCTGCACAGGGGGAGGCTGGCATGCGGAGGAAATCCAGTGCCAAGCACCCTCTGCTGTCCTCTTTCGCCTCCCCTTCGCACTGGCCATCAGGGGACTTGGCTCTGCTCTGAACCTCTTGGGGTTGAGAGCTTTCAGCTGGAGAAGTCAGAAAGCCTTCTCT